ATACTTGTGAGGAAAATAAACCAGCAGATCAGTGTGTCTGAGCAAAAGACCAACACTGTGAGAGCAAAAGGAAGTGAGAAGAATTTATATGGATTAGTTGGGAAGGCAGATTAACAGGAGTTCTCCATATATATATATAAGCAGAAATGTGAGTGATGCATAGGTAATATAGGAAGACATGTCTGGCTGTGGGTGCTGAGTAAACTAGAGATCGTGTTAACATTAGGTGTACTAATCTCCATTGGTTTCAATGTCTTGGAAGTAAATTTTCACCCAAGTCTCATCTATAATACCAAATAATATATCTGAGGCCATCTCCATGTCTTGGATTCATCTTATTTTCCCTTAGTACATTTTTCTCTGGACTTTTAATGCTTTGACTATAAACGAAGTAGCAAGATTTTATTGTTTGCTTGTTTTTCTTTCTTCTTTTATTTCCCAGCCTCAGAGTTTTGCACAGAAGCCTTTCCTGCTTCTGGGAACTTTCTTCTGAACTACTTCTGGCTGACTCCACCTTACCATTAAGTCACTTCAAGGTGACTTTTTAATCTAAGGCTATCTTATAATAGTCACCTATAGTCACTTGGTATCATACTATTGCTTGCATATTCTTCTTGTCCTATAACAGTATGTAAATTTCTCTTATTTGTTTAATCACTTAGATTGGGCCCATCTGGTAGATGTAACATTCATGAGACCACATGAACTTTCTGTCTTGTTCACTAAAATTCTCAAGTGTTTAAAACAGCACACAGCATGATTGGGCTCAATAAATATTTGTTCTTTAAAATGTATACAACAATGAAGGATTATTAGTTTCTGTGATGCTGATCTAGTATTGATGTGATCAAGGTCCAGACTCCAATGGAAGCAATGAACATAGACATAAGTTAGAATTGTAGAAAAACTATTAACAAGAGTAAAAAATATCTTGAAAGCGATTGTCTAGAGAGGAGTCACTGTCTGGTTTACTGGTTTCACATGCAGAGTTTTAAGGTCCCCGAGTTGAGAGGGATAGCTGGATAAACACACCATGTTGGAGATGAGCATTAAGGCCATTGGAGAGCAAGTGCCCTGAGCCACCCTGCCTCAGTCCAGGCCCAATAATGTGTACAGGAAGTATTCCTGTGGTCAAAATCGCCTCTTCTTTTTATTTCATAAATCTTTGGTCTTAAAATGAGCCACCTCCCCAGGTTTGACTCAGACTTTATATCTCTGTAACTAAGTACAGAATCTTTCCTTTATGTCTTGGAACCAAGCCACTTTGAGACTGAGAGCTTATAGATAACTTCCGTCTCTCATGGCATAACAACTTCTGGCCTCTTGGTCATTGTTGTTATCCATACGTCCTATTTAAATTGTTCCAAATCTAAGTAGATAAAATATTTCTCACTGTATCAAGTAGGCAGAAATAATTTATTTTCAAATAACAAATTTAGGTCTAATATATTGGGTCTATATCTTAGAGTGTTAGAATGCTCCAATAAATATTTACTACACTGTAGTTTTTATAAAAATTAATCTCAGGAACAAAGAAATTCATTTTCTGGAGATCTAAGAGTGGGAAATAGATCTGAGGAAAAAAATAATAAAATGAAATACTCCTTCTACCACGAGAAGTGTCTATCCTGTAACTGTTTCTTTAAAATGTGTGAGACCAAAGTACCTCAGGCCACAGCAGCATTAGTATGTGGACTACTGTTAATGAAGTCTGCCTCATCTGATGAGATATGAGGAAAAGTTATATACAGCACAGGAGACACAAAGACTAGACACTAGTCACAAATCACCTACTCCCAGGTCTTGCCATAGGATCTTGTATTTCTCTATCCACTGAACACATAAACACCTCCTGTCCACAACACTAAATTGAGTATTTGATCACATGAGTGAGTAGGCATGAGCCCCACACACTCACTCATATAATGAATGAAAAACATTTTGCTTAGACTGTGCATATATTATTAGTATAACTCAAAAATAACAAAGTAATGCTCACTTTTTGTCTCATTAAGGCAAAAGAGAATTAAAATGAAAAGTCAAGCCTTCAGAAGTAATAAAGATGAAAAAAATAGCCCCGAAGCCTTAAAAATTTTACTTAACATTTTAAAGAATCAGTTTCCTTACTTTAAGATAAGATTAGTCTCACCTCCTCAAATGGTATAGAATTTCAAGGAAGTATTAGTAAAGAACATTTTCTGTCATTTTTTAATGGGTAACGATAGTAGTTTACCCAACATACTGTGTGTGGCTTGTTTCTGTATGCCTTATTCCATTCTGGACTCTTGACCTGGCTGTATTCTTTCTTAGTTACAAACTTAAATATCTAAATATTTCCTTTTGGATTGCTCAAGTGTGATCATATACAAAATGCCCAAGACTGAGGTCACTAAGTGATTGTGCATGTGGGAGAGAAGACTGTAGCAAGTAGATAGACTGTGCTTGAATTAGAAATTGAGTTCCAGAGCATATCCAAAAAGTATTCTAGTTTGAGTGTTATTTTTGAAACAAACAGCAATACCATGTTCCAATGGATGAATGCCCTGACCTTTTTTTTAAAAAAAGTTAATATTTATCTGCTTGATAAACTCAGATGATGCCCATCCTTATCTAGAATATTAGGAATTAGTAAAGCTTGAATAATTGGAGTAAAGCAAATACACTTTAAGACATATATGTCTTAAAGTATACATACATACACACACACA